AGGAATTCTGGGAGTTGAAGTCCACGAGTCATGAGAGGGCCATAGTTCCCCCATGCTGGCTCAGGAATTCTGGGAGTTGAAGTCCACGAGTCATGAGGGGGTCATAGTTCCCCCATGCTGGCTCAGGAATTCTGGGAGTTGAAGTCCACCAGTCATGAGGGGGGCATAGTTCCCCCATGCTGGCTCAGGAATTCTGGGAGTTGAAGTCCACGCGTCATAAAAGAGCCAAGGTTGCCTACCCCTGCCCCAGACCGTCCCACCTCTGCAGCCTCAACACCAGCTGAGAGCAGAACCAGAAGGCAGAATAACAGAGTAGGAAGGGGCCTTTAAGGTCTTCTAGTCCAACCCCCTGTTTAAACAGGAGACCCTAGACTAGGTCGGACAGTGTTCAGACTTGAATACTGGGCCCTGTCTAACAAAACGAAATTCAGTGTAGAGAAAATAAGATTTTACACTTAGGCAAGAAAAGCCAAACGTACAGGGGCAGATTAGGTGAAACCTGGCTCCATAGCGGTAACTGTTAGATTTTGGAGCCCGAGTGGACAATCACTTAAATGTGAGCCAGCCAGCCAAATAAACCCTGTGCAATCCTAAGCTGCATTAACAGAGGGATTTAACTGTGATCACGTGAGGTACTAATACTATACAGCCTGAGTAAGACCACACCTAGAATACTGCAACCAATTTTGGTCTCCACACTATAAAAAAGATGCTGAGACTCTAGAAAGAGTGCAGAGAAGAGCAACAAAGATGATCAGGGGACTGGAGGATAAAACTTACAAGGAACGGTTGCTGGAATTGGGGATGTCTAGTTTAATGAAAAGAAGGACGAGGGGGGACAAGATAGCAGCCTTCCAGTATCTCAGGGGCTGTCCCAAAGAAGAGGGAGTCAAGCTATTCTCCAAAGCGCCTGAAGGCCGAACAAGAAGCAACGGATGGAAACTAATCAAGGAGAGAAGCAATCTAGAACTAAGGAGAAACTTCCTGACAGTTAAAACAATTAACCAGTGGAACCACCTGCCTCCAGAAGCGGTGGATGCTCCAACACTGGAAGTTTTTAAGAAGAGACTGGACAGCCATTTGTCTGAAATGGTATAGCGTTTCCTGCCTGAGCAGGGGGTTGGACTAGATGACCTCCAAGCTCCCTTCCAACTCTGCCATTCTGATTCTGAAGGTCTGAAGAGTCTCACCTCCACTGGAAAGGCAAGGTCCATCAGGTAAGCCCTGACCTGCCCCGCTAGCCAAGGATTAGCCCAGAGGGCAGGAGGTAGCTGCTCCCCACAATTGCTTTCTCTTCCGGGCCACGCAGGGAGCCACGGAGGCGTGGAATCCTACAGCCGTGGGCTAACTTTTGAGGAGGACAGACATGTCGAAGAATCTTCATTTGAGAACGTGGGCAAGAATGGACGACTCGGTCCACTGAATGCGCCCCCCCCTCTGCTTGGCTGCAGCACCAAGTGGCCCAGTGGGGAAGGCACCAGGCTAGACAGTGGGAGGGAGGGAATTCTAGTCCCACCTTAGCCACGAAAGACGGCTGGGTGACATTTTGGGCCAATCACCAGGAGACGGTGAGTTCCAGTGCCGCCTTAGACACAAAAGCCCTATGAATAACTTTTGGGCCAGGCCCTCTCTCCTGGCCCAGCCCACCCCACAGGCTTGTTGTTGTGGGGAAAATAGGAGGTGTATTCTTAAGTGGGCTCCTGGGCTCCAAGATCACCGCAGATGGGGACTGCAGCCAAGAAATTAAAAGACGCTTGCTCCTGGGGAGGGAAGCTATGGCAAATCTAGGCAGCATACTCAAAAGCAGAGACATCATCACCCTGCCAACAAAAGTGCGTGTAGTCCAGGCCATGGTTTTCCCAGTTGCCATGTGTGGCTGTGAAAACTGGACCCTAAGAAAGGCTGAGCGCCAAAGAATGGAGGCCTTTGAACTCTGGTGCTGGAGAAGACTCCTGCGAGTCCCCTGGACTGCAAGGCGATCCAACCGGTCGGTCCTAGAGGAGATCAACCCCGACTGCTCTTTAGAAGGCCAGATCCTGAAGCAGAAACTCAAGTACTTTGGCCACCTAATGAGAAGGAAGGACTCCCTGGAGAAGAGCCTGATGCTGGGAAAGACGGAGGGCAAGAGAAGAAGAAGGGGACGACAGAGAAGGAGGGGGCTGGATGGAGTCCCTGAAGCAGCAGGCCTGAGCTTCAATGGACCATGGCATCGGACCTGGCTACCTTCGAGACCGCCTTCTGCCACAGATTACCCCCCACCGACCTGTACGCTCCCACAGAGAGGGTCTCCTCAGGGTGCCGTCAACCAGACAGTGCCGGCTGGCGACCCCCAGGGGGAGGGCCTTCTCGGTGGGAGCTCCCACCCTCTGGAACGAGCTGCCCCCAGAGATCCGGGTGATTCCGGATCTCCCCTCCTTCCGCCGCGCCCTCAAGAGTTGGTTGTTTCAGCGGGCAGGACTGGCCTAGGGGTATTTAAATTGGTTTTAACAAAATTTTAGTAGAAGCGGCCTATTCAAATATTTATTTTTAATCATTTTTAAATTTTGTATGGTATTGTATTATTGTTTTTAAACCGGCTGTAAGCCGCCCTGAGTCCTCCGGGAGAAGGGCGGGGTATAAATTTAATAAAATGAAAAAATGAAATGAAATGACTCCAGAAGATGGGAGAGGACAGGAAGGCCTGGAGGAACGTGGTCCATGGGGTTGTGATGGGTCAGACACGACTTCGCAACTAACAACAATTCTTAAGTGCATTGGCCACTTTGAGTTCCTTATGAGGTTATAAAGAACCCCTGTTTGAGAGAGAGGGGTGGTTTAGAAATATGAAATATAACAGAGTTGGAAGGGACCTTGTAGGTCATCTAGTCCAACCCCCCACCCAGGCTGGAGACCCTACAGACCCTATATAACTAAATAAAGATGAGATAGAAATCTAATGAATAAATAAGAAGCATCCTCCCGCTCCCCCAAGGCCAGCCTGCCCCCCCCCCCCAGCAGACCCCCATCCCTGCCCTGCCCAAGGACCCAGGAGCCCACCTGTCAAAGATGCGGAAGCACTCGGCCAGCTCCTCCTCGGACTTGCCCTTGGCGTCCTCCTTCATCTGCCTCACCATCATCACCAGGAACTCCTCGAAGTCGATGGTTCCGCTGCCTGCGGGGGGGGTCCCAGCCCAGAGTTAGGGGGGGTTTCCCCAGGTCCCTCTCCTCCCCCCCTCCCGGCTTCTGCCCCCTCTCACCATCCTCGTCCACCTCCTCTATGATGGCGTCCAGCTCCTCCTTGGTGGGCGTTTGGCCCAGCATCCGCATGACCGTCCCCAGCTCCTTGGTGCTGATGTCGCCCCCCCCATCGGCATCAAACATGTCAAAGGCGGCCTTGAACTCTGCGGGGGGGGCACAAGGGGGGGGCTCAGCCTCTGCCGGAGAAAGGCAGGGCGCCCCCGCCTCCCTGCTCTCCCCATTGCCAAGACGGCCACTGGGCCGGGCACCAAGGCCAAACATTCAGAAGTGGCCTTGACTTACAGCAGTTTCATTTAGTGACCGCTCGGAGTTACAACGGCACTGAAAAAAGTGACTTGGGACCGGTTTTCACACTCGCAACCCCTGCAGCACCCCCCCCTCCAAGGTCACGTGGCCAAAATTCAGAGGCTTATTTATTTATTTATTTATTTATTTATTGTTTAAATTTATATGCCGCCCTCTCTCCCTTACGGGACTCAGGGCGGTGAACAGGCAATAATAAAAATCACAGTAAATATTACATAAAAGCCTGCTCTAAAATATAAAACCCCTAACAAAACCCAATCAAAACTACGCCAGGCCGGCCGCATGGAACAGATGAGTTTTCAGGGCTTGGCAACTGACTCGTATTTATGACGGTCGCAGCGTCCCAGTTGGGTCAAGAGATCCCCCTTTTGCGACCTTCTGAGAAGCGAAGCCGATGGGGAAGTCAGATTCACTTAACAACCATGTTATTAACTGAACAACTGCAGCGATTCACTTAACAACAGTGGCAAGGTTGTAAAACGGGGCACGACTCACTTAACAACTGTTTGGGGCTCAATTGTGGTTGTAAGTCGAGGACTAGCCTGACACCCCTGGCCAAACTCTACTATGCCCCTCTGGGCACCCAGAGCCCCCCACTCCTCCCTCCGATGCCCCCCCCCAGGGGCTGCCCTCACCGCCCTGCCCCGTCCGGCAGACTCACCCGCAATCATCTCCTCGCTGAGGTAGGAGCGGGCCTCAGCCTGCTGGTCCGTCTGCAAGGCAAAGACAGGGGTGACCGAGGGCCGGGGAGGGGGCCCAGTGGGGCCTGCCTAGGGGAAACCAGTGCCCCCCCATCCCATCTGACCTGAGTCCCAGGGCCCTTCACAGCATCTTCTGTGGGCACCGGGGGCTCCTCACCCCGAAAGCAGGACAGCCGCCCACCCACCCACCCACCCCTCTACTTTTCGGCTGAAAGGGAAGAGGCAGCCGCAACCAGGGATGGGGACCCCTGTGGGGAAGGACTGCCAGAGAAGGGCAGGGGGGGCAGGGACCTCCATCCTTTCTTCCTCGGGTCCTTCCAAGCAGAGTCGTGGCCCCAGATGAAGCCCAAGTTGAGGTCTGGAGAGCTGCTGAGGGACAGTCTCCAAGTCTGCCTGGCTGGAGAATCTGGCTGCTCCTCCCGGGGGCAGCTGCTCTTGTCCTCCTTCCCTCCCCCCTGGGTCCCAGGCCCCGTGCCCTCCTCCTTGGTCCCTGGCCCAGAGGCAGGCGGCCAGCGCGGGGTGGGGGGGGGCTTCTTGAGACGCGGGCTATTCTTAGCCAAACTGGAGCTGCCGGGAGCGCCTTCTAGGGGCGGCTCCAGGCGGGCTGCCAGCCAGACCCGCACCTGTCCAGCCCCCCCCCACCCCCCCACCCCCCGGATTGGGTTACTCCTTCAGGAGGCTCTTGGGGCTGTGAGATGCCCAGGCAGCCCTGGCGCCTCCTGACCCGGGGCTCAGCTTTCCCCGACGGCCAGCTCCTCCTTTTCGCAGCCCTCCCGCCTCGCCGGAGGTCCCCGGGGACGCCGAATCCCACCCCCTCTTGCCCCCCCCCACAAACCTCCCCTAACCCCTTCAGGTAAAGCAGCAGAAGTCACCCACCCGGTCTCCCCCACCCCCACTGCCCAGTCCCCCCCAGTCGCCCCAGCAGCCTCGGCCAACGGGTCGCGGTGCCCCCCCGGCCCCACACAGGGCGGCTCCGCCAGAGCCCGGCTTGTGTCCTGGCCGCTTCCTCGCCGCTCCTGCGCTGGCCCTGGGCGCCGGGGCCGCCCTGTCCCACGGGACACTCGACCAACCAGTCCAGCCGGCCGTCGGTGCGCAGGCGGCGCTCCCGTCCGGCGTCCCGGCAGGAGGGTCAGCTCCAGCCGTCCTGGCGCCGTCCATCCCCGGGCTCCGGGCCCGGGCTCTTACCATGCTTACCATGTTGGCAGGTGTCACCCCGGGGCCACCCACAGAACAGAACCTCCGTGTCCCCCTCCGGTCTGAGCAGGTGGCAAGCGCTGCCCCGCCCGCCGGCCGGACCCCTTTGTACCCCGGAGGCCGGCAGGGGCCCCCCCCGGACCCTCCGATTGGGCGCCAGGGGAGGCAGCCCTGCCCGGGGGGCCAATCCCCTCCGGCCTCACCTGTCGATTGGTCAGCCGGGCGTTTTACCAAATTTAGCCAAGGTTCTCCCGGCCGGGAGGGAAGGGGGGGG